ACCTAGACTCTGATTAAATAACAGATAAATCATATAAACATGTTGAACAAATGAGGCCACAACATTTTATCTTATTCTATATCTCAATAGAAAATGTGTCTTTTTGGATTCCCATAAGAAAGAGCCTTGTCAGTCAATATTTGATGCTTTGGGCTGAGAGCTGAATGGCTGAGCGAGAGCAAAACGCTGATCTATAGCAGTTTTAAAGTTTTACAGAGTTTTACTAATTTCCCTTCAGATGTCTACTATTAAACACAAACCATCTTAAACTTGTGCCACAACCCTCCTCCTCCCCGTGACCACTGCAAAAAACGGGGTCAAACTCTCTTCGTGTCAGCCTGTCACTTTGGCTTCCATCCCCATCAGAGTTGAGACCTCAGGGGAATTCCTACTCATTATCTGTATTTGATTTCCCCTGTGCATCTGTCACGCGATATTTCTGCTGGGGTCTAAGCTCTTAATACAATAAACATCTTTGTGTGAGTCTTTTCTGATTAATATAAACACGTAGCCAGTTAAAGAAAATAATACTTCAGAATGCATGAAATTACTGTATTAGTCCTTGAGATTTACAGTATGAATGTGTCATATGGGGTTCAAAAACTCAGTCATGTTTTAGACCACTAATGATAGAGCTGCGTGGTCCTGCTTTTGTTTACTTAAAACTGGGAAAATCTTTATCATGCTGCTTTAAAACATGTTATTTCTTGCATACTAAGGAAAAACCTGAGAGCTTATTAGCTGAGTGAGGGTGGTCTTTTTCTCTTTTCTGTCTGAAAAAGCTGTTTTCAGAGGCCAAAAGTACATGTGAAAACTAATGATAGATCCAAAGCTGCAAAAAATGATAGAATATCAGGTAATGAATAAATAATTTGGGCACATTCTGACTGACTTAAAACAAGATTTGCCAATGGGACAAAGCCATTTAGTCTTTTCTCATTCCAAGGGAGACATTTCTTGTATATTTTAAAAACTAACTAACTAAAAGATAACTTTGCTTGTCCCATTGTCAAATCTTGTTTTACAGCAGTCAAAATGTGCTCAAATTTGAGCTTTTCTTTCCCTATATTCCATCATTTTTGCAGTGAAACTCTTTTGAAGGGACTACCACAGTTGCATGGATTTTAACACATGCAGTAGTTTGATTTGTGGTGTAGTGCAAATTAAGTACCCTGGCTTTAATGACTTGTGGTAGATGCATTTACATTCTCCTTTTTGAGCAACTCTCCAAGTTAGAACCTTGGGTCAAAAGGCTTTTCAATTTGAAGAGTGGCAAAAAGGTTAACATTCTCCCTCTTTCTTCTGTCCATTTACTACGCCCACTCAACTTAACATTGCACTAATCACCTTTTTGGATCACATTTTTGAGCGAACATAAACAGTGATAAATTATACATTGAGGATTTCCCATCTCATTTTGCAGGTTTGAGACTGTAAACATAAGTCGAATTGCGAGCAAACTCAAAGCCAGGTTGCTCTGTCGGCAAATATCACCCAATATCAGCACATCGTTCAGACAGCTACATCCCCGCCTGATTAATATCCTGTCAGTGTGTAATGAAATCCAGAAATGTATCATTATTAATATGCCTTGCTCCATATTGGCTTTGGGAATAAGAAGTATGCACTGTGGACGTAAGCAGTTTTGTCAGGGAGGACACAATAATGTTCAAAACCTTTTCATTTTATTGCATTGACACATATGGTCTGGATTTTCATGCAAGTTTTGTGATTCAGACCGTCTCTTGAGAACACAAACTAGTTTAAGTTTTTAGAGGATACATATTTTACTAATTTGACTTTATTGATTTTTTTTAGCAATGTTACAATATCACACTGCAAAAAAATGATAAAATATGAGGTATTAATTGATTGTAATGATAGTATAATTAATTAAGTGTTTTTTATCATATTTTCAGGACATCTTTTAAAATAAGATTTGCCAATGGGACAAACCAGTTAGTCTAGGAAGAACATTCCAAGGGAGATATTCCTTGAATCTTTGTGTGTCCCATTGAAAAATCTCTCTTTTTTTTTTTTTTTTACAGCAGTAAAATTGTGCTCAATTTATGATTCATTTAGGAAACTTTGGAGCCATTTTTGACTAATTCTTCATCTTTTTTTGCAGTGTGTTCTCTCAACAAGAATTGCAGTTGGAGCTGTTTCTAGATCCATCCACGCTAATATCCAAAACTTCTGTAACCCCACACCTCTCTAAAAGCTCCTCTAGTCTCATTTCTAGTATAGTATTTTATATCTTAGCATATGATGTCATTGTACCACTATGGCAGTTCAGATTCTATACATATGGATGTCCAAAATTTACATTTTTGAGCTTTTTACTGTATCACATTGATAATAATCTCAGATCTGTGTTGGCGAATCGAAAACTCTGTCTCTAATCAAAACAGACCTGGAGGGTTAAGATCCATCCACGCTAATATCTGGAGCTTTTGGCAAAAACAAAACATTTGGAAGAAAAAGAGAAAACAAAATGGACTCTCTCCCTCTGGTGGTATCAGTTAGAGTTATATGCAGATTTGTATTTTTTGTATCCTTCCTTCATCCATCATGTAAAACAGGAGTTGTCTTGAGGTCCATCAGCCCTATTGTCAGAAACTGCAAAAACAAAGCAAAATCAATCCCTCCCTCTGCTATTAGTATAGGGAGTTACAGGCAGAAAGCATTTTAAAATTCACAATTGTTTCACCATGTTTCTACTATTATTTTCTAAAGCATGAAAATACAATGTAAATAGTCTGATTATCATTTTTAATAACCAACAATAACGCACAATACTTTCTCTTTAAATCTCATGAGTTGATTTACGCAAGAGTCATTGATGGTTTCTGCTGAGTCAAAAGCATGTGATAAATGACTAAAGCTGATTAAATCAAGCTGTGAAATGAGGTTTGAATCGCTTGACAAACCTGGATCTCTGGAAAACGTTCTGTGTTATGCTCTGGTTTAAACACAACATTTCCTACTGCAGGAAGAAGCATCAGAGTAATGAAAACCAGAGGTGAGGTATAAAAATAATAACGATAAAAATCCTGGCAGAGTTTTGGGCGGATGAAGGGGAGAGAAGTCAGAGGTGCGCTGCAGGGAAAGGAGCGATTGTGAGAAAAACATGGGATGGGTGGGAGAGTGAGGTGAGAATGAGACGTGTGGCAATACTTTTTATGAATATTTTTAGGTTAATTTGACAACTATTCCTGAGGTTTGCCTAATGATTCTGCTTGAGAGTTCACATCCCCTGGTTCTCAGTAGCATGTGGTTCTTGGCCATTCTTCTTGGCCAAAAACCATATGTCTATTTTCTGCATAAAAAACTCCCAAAAAACATGAGATGATAATTAGTTGGATTGAGTAGTTTTTATCTTAATTTGATTACATTCTGGGGTAAAAGTGGCACAGTTGGCCTTTGAGCCTGAAGGTCATGGGTTGGAGCCCACCACAAGACCTTCTCCACGATTCCCACTGATGTCTGCTTTTGTCATGTCCTTGGTCAAGACACTTGACCCAACTTTGCCTGAAGCCCCCTCTGAAAGAAAGTGTGTTGTCACTGACGGAGCAGCCATTCTCCTGTGGACTCACCACCTGCAGGAGGATCCATGAGGGGCTGGTGCTCTTTGAATTGGGTGCTGCTCTGATTGCCACACCCCCACCCCAGAAATGGATTAAGGGGAAGAAGATGGATGGATAAATGATTACATTCTGACGTCCTGTGTTGAAACAAGATTTGACAATGGGACAAAGCTGTTTAGTCTTATCCCAAGAACAGTTCATTTTGCTTGTCTCTTTGCCAAATCTTGTTTTAAAGCAGTCAAAAGGCTTTGAGATAATACATTAACAGAGTTTTTTGAGCAGTTTTAATGACTGGAGTAATACATTATCAACACAATTGTGCAGTGAAACTACAGGAACATGTTGATTTACTGTATGTCAGCAGTCAGATGACGAAGCAGGGACTGGTCACATGGGATTGTCATTTTGCAACAGATGCCTTTCATGCTTTATGTGTGATGTAAGTGACGTCTGTTGTGACATTTCAGCTGATCTATCAGATTTAGTGAGGATGTGACACATTTGCACGCTGGAGTCACGAGTTAACAAAAGGTTATTTACCCTCAGCAATCTTAGAACAACTCATCAAAATAATATGCAGTTTTGGACATTGGTCATCTGCTGTTTATGGACCAATGGCTGTTTTTTGTTAATATTGCATTTCCTGTGTCAGAACTGTTTGTACATCTATTACATTAACTTATTTGATGAGTTTTATTCTCCGATTGGTTGAGGAATCGACCGCTTTGTAAGGTCGTGAAGTTGTGATTTAGGGGTATACATAAATACATTAAATGGAATAAAATTGAGGGTGAACGTCTCATTATCTTGACAGACATCAAGGAACAGAACAGGGAGTTGATCTTGGTGAAAAAAACAGCACAACAGTTGAGATTTTATTCATTGTTCATTCCAACATGTTCACTGCGTAGTCATGGAAGACATTTCTTAAAGCACAAAACACAATAATATTCCATACACATGTCCATATATAGCACCAGAGTTGACAGTATTACTTGTGAGTTCACACAGATCGGATGTGCTTGTCAGTGGAGACCCGTAGCAGCGTATTAGTCTTTTTTGCGCAACAATATTACACATATATCGTCACCTAGTCATAACACAATGCAGTCACTTCATATAAGTTAAAAAAGAGAGACAATATGAATACATTTCACCAAGCAGAAAATGCCCCATATAAAAAAAAAAAAAACATTCCTGTGCACAATATAGGTGTCTCTTTGTGGTCCAGATCTTTTCACTGTGCTAATCAAAAAATCCCCCCAAACATCTGGAGGCACTCGAGGAGTCGGGCGGAAACAATATCATTCAATAGTTCAATTTGCATTTGTGCTGTTTTGATTTCAACTGAGAAGAAAGCAGTTTTTTTCTCTCTATCCGTCTTGCACTGGATTGGCTACTTACGGCCCCCATTTATCCAGTCGCGGCTTCTTTCGCGATACAGTCCTTGACCTCGTCTTTGAGTTCTGCCAGTTGTTCCGAATGCACCGTGAGAGTGCCGTTCACTTGGTCAAGATAGGATTCCGAATGCCTCTCCAGTTCAGCCCGGATTTGCTCCAAATGCTCTGCAAGCTCTCCCAAACCACTGCACTGGCCTTCCACCTGGCTCACCCTACTGTCCACATCTTTGACCCCCTTCTTGGCCTCCAACGCTGTGCTTTTGCAGCCCTGGAGCTCCCCCGATAGACGTCTTTTAAGCGCCACCAGCTCTCCCTTCAGATGGGCAAGTCTCCTCTCCCCAGCACCCAACAGTGAAGCTTGGTGACCCACTATTTTGGAGATCCCTTGGACCTGGTTGACTAGCTGGTGCTCCCTCTGCTCCCAGGTGGCATTAGCGTGTCCGACCTCACTTACAATGAAGTGTATGGAGTCTTTGAGACCTTTCAAAGTCTTGTTCACGGAATGAATGTTCACTTTAAGCAGCGTGATTTCGCCACTCACCGATCCTTCCAGCTCTTCCTGTGCAATCTTGAAAAGCAAGTGATTCAAGGAGTTGTTTAGCTTATCCAGTTGGTTGGATTGAGTGTCTAATCTACCATTCATTCTCTTCTCCACATCCTCGCAGTCTCCCACCACCTTTCCGTTGATGCCCTCTGCTGGCGGGGTAGACGGAGCACAAGACGAGGTGCAAAGTAGCTCCAAGTCTATGAGCTGTTTTTGGATGCCTCCCAGATCGTCTTCCATTCGCCTTTTGACCGATTCGATCTCCAAAGCCGGGATGACCTGACCCTCCAGTAGAGCCGGGGAGGTGGCGTTGCTCAGCTCCTCTACTGCCACAAACACTCTCTCCTCCAGAGTCTTCAGCTTGTCCTCCAGTAGGGTCTTGAAGCCGTCCAGATCAGAAGGGAATCTGGATGCGGGATTGTCAGTGTCTGAGGTGGAGTTGAGACGATTCTCGAGGTCCAGGAGGCGTGTCTCGATCAGAGTCTCCACCTCGATGTTCTGATCCACCAGAGCTGTCTGCAGCTGTCTCTGGGACTCCGTCAGGCCTTTCACAGAGTCCTCCAGCAGAAGCATGCGCTGGGAGAGGCTGTTCACCTGTTGGGAAAACAAAAACATAGTGATTTTTTTTAACATAATTTCACACTTCTTCCACTAGATGGGAGGGTTTTTCTGATCCAGATCTTTTCTTTATCCATTATACATACTTTTCCATATCTTTTCACTTTGTTTTAATACATCATACTCATATGGCGCTTTTGGACACTCAAAGACGCTTTACAGAAGATCAAATAAGAAGCAAGAAACCAAATAAAATGCCAAAAATGAATAGTTAAGTGAGGCAGTTTTGAACAGGAGGGTTTTGAGCAAACAAGACTTAAAAAGGTAACTCAAGCAACAACTCAAGTGTTACCTGTCCGCAGCAGCTCTCAGTGAGAGTGAGTCCTTGGATCTGGGCCTGCAGAGTACCCAGCTCCTTCCTCAGCCCGGTCTCCCGTCCGTCCAGAGACTGCTGCATCTGCTCCTGGCCGTTCATGTGGTCACGGTGGCACTGTTGCTGCACTGCGCTCACCATCTGGTCACAGTGGGACTCCATGCCGTTCAGCCGCCGCTCAAAGCCGTCCAGGATCTCACTGCGCACACCGGCGAGCTTCTGGTTCAAGAGCTCCTCTACGTTCAGCTGAGAGCCCGCGATGGGCCGACCCCTAGGGCTGTCTAGGAGCTTCTTCAGCTGCCCATCGTGACCAAGAACCATGCCCTGGAAGAAGACACCAGGGAAAGTTCTGTTGAGCTCAGTGGTGCTATATTTCACTGCTTGTTTTTTATTTTGGCTCACGAATATGACCTTGATAATAGTTTATTTTTAAAAAAAAGTGTGTACATATAGAGCTTAGAAACTGGTTAAGACGGTCTTTCTCTGATCTCTCTCTCTGGTCGCTCTCTGATCTCCCAAGATCGGAGAGAGAGACCAGTGAAAGAGATCAGAGAGAAAGACAAGATTGAGACCAGAAAGAGACCAGAGAGAGACCAGAGAAAGAGATCAGAAAGCGACCAAAGAGAGAGATATCAGAGGGACGTTATTACCTGGATCTCCTCTATGATGTGCGTCTTGGCCCTCAGCTCGTCCCTCACTTCTGTCACTCTTCCTGCCAGATCCCCAAACCCATTGAAGCTCTCTTGTCCCTCCAGACCGTCCGGACTTCCATCTGGCAGAACTCCAAAGCCCACGCTGGAGTCGTGCCGTCGGTTCGGCAGCAGCGACACCAGCATCTTGTTGGTATCCTCTCTCAGTGAAGTCCTCAGCCTCTGCTCCAGTCCCACCACGGCTCCGCTCAGAGAGTCCAGTGTCAGGGAAAGGCGCCGCAGGTCGGCTTCCATCCGGTCCAGCCGCTCTCCCGTCACTCCGGACGCCACAAAGGTGTTCCCTGTTTCAAGACCCACAGAAGAATTGCGTTACAAAGTGCCTCACAAATGTCGACAGCTTGTGTTCGCATGGCAACTGAACATTCTCTTCTGGTTGCGTTGAGCTGGAAGGTGCGTTCACACTTGTCTGGCCCCCTTAACCCTCATGTTGTGTTAGGAATCGGCACCAATCGGCACCACCATTATTTGGTATTGTTTCAATACCAAATAATACAATTATTGCTTGACTTGGTTTTTTCAATCATAATTTACAATATGTAAAATCCATATATAATAATGTTTTCTGACTATAATATAACAATAATTGAATATAATATTTGAAAAAAGTGGAACATCTATAAATATATTAATAATAGTTACGTTGGTGGTCTTAGGGTCAATTTGACACGTGTAGATTTGTTAGTAAAAGGAGCCTTTGTTCTTCAGAAAACAACTTTATTTTTACGTTTTCTGGAGTTTGGAGAGGAAAAGCTCAAGTAAAGTCTTTATGTCTTGGATCTGTGACTTTGCAAATCAAGCGGGTTCAATGGTAATTTTTATGATATTAGCTGATGCTTCTCTGCCTTCATTTTTATACGGGTTTGAGACCAAACCTTCCCATTCATTGAAACAAAGCCCTGTTCTGGTTCATTCAGTCACTTCTTCAACTGATGTGGATCATCCACAAAATCATCCTCAGATCTTCCTCCAGCGCAGCCTGATCAGGTGACACAGTGGCTGAGTGAATACCACTGACGCTTCTCAGAAAATTCTGAGTTCAAATCCTGGTCAGAAAAGGTGTATTTCTGAGTGGGTCCATCAGTATGGACCCATCACCTGATGCCCCATACTGAGGCATCAGTATGGGTCAAATGCAGAAGAGGAATTGCCTGTTAAATGTGAGTAAATGTTAGATGAGGTGTCTTTACAACAAAAGCTTGGATCTTACCAAAGGGTCTCCCAGTGCCAGCTGGCAGGTGTCCTGATGGTATCGGTCTGGCATCGGGCACATTGGGGACGGGTCGGCCTGGTTCTATGTGGCCCTCTCCTGGTGTGTGGTCCACTGGAGGTCGAGGGCCGTGGGGGAAGCCTTTCATCCCGGGACGATAGGGTAGAGCTTTGAACGGAGGATTTGCAGCTCCAGGTTCTGAGGAGGGACCCTCCGAGCAGCCCTCCCCAGAGGAGCCAGGGCAGCACCTCCACTCCAGCTCCGTCACGCTCTTGTAGCCAACTTTGTACTTCGGTTTGAATATCGTCCTATACCTGGATTGGGAGACAGCATTTTTATTTAGTGTGTATTTATTTTGGTATATCCCTAAATCACAACAGTAGTCATCTCGGAGGACTTCAAAGTGACAAAACAGAGATTTATTTAATTAGTCAATATTTTAAAAGAATAGGATGATTAAAAAGAGAAAATGCAATTCAATATACAGTCATGTCTGCGACAGAGCGACATGAGCTCACATAATACTTTTACTACTACCACTACCATTGCAACGTCTTTAAAACAACAGTTTAGTTTACCAATTTTTTTCTTTGATTGCTATATTTCGATACTTTGATAATGTCATGTACATTTCGAATCATTTTTGCAAAAACGTTTTGTATTGTAAATGTATTTGCAAAATTACCCAACATTATAATATACATACACATTATCCGTTATAACTATAATACATCAACATAAATATAGATATTTTTAAAAGATGTAAAAAAAAATGTTTTACCCTTCGATAACAAACAACAGTGCTCAGACAGTCACATGATTGAACTATGCAGGTATTCCAATAATCTGACCTTTCTGATCTTGTCGTAGAAGAGGCCACCAGAGGGCAGCATTTAGAAGCTGTGCACTGTATCTATAATGATAATGGTGTTAGTTGCCCTTGCTTTAACAGACAAAGTACACAGTATGAATAAGTCTTGCTTCTTCATCATGCTAGAGTTCGAGACTTTACTTCATTTATTTTTATTAATTTATCTTGTGCTGTGTGCTCCTCATTCCTACTGTCTGTAACTTGTGACGCAACACTGAAATTTCCCCACTGTGGGATGAATAAAGGATCTCTTCATCTTAATCTCTCTCTCAGTGGAGCACTCACATGACGACGGGACACTTCTGGCCCCAGATGCACTTGGTGGTGTACTCCGCCTTCACGAACGGGACGGCTCCGTCCTGCATGATGCACGTGATGTTCCTCTGGACCACATAGGCACAGTGGTTTCTGTGGAGAGACCAAATACTGTATTGTGAACAAATATAAACTAAAGGAGACGTATGCAAGCACACGGAGGAAATCTACGCAGACACAGGGACAACATACAAACTCACAAAGGCCACTTTCCGACTGGGATTCAAACCCAGGACCTTCTTGATGAGAAGCGAGGGTGCTATCAACTCAGCCACCGCCGCTAAAGACACTTCCTTCCAACCCCTTGGCTAATGGGTCCAATCTTATTTTGCGACGTCTTATAAAACAATAGTTTAGTTTAACTGCTACATTACATAATAATGTAATGCACGTTATGTCTGTATCTGAGCCCAAATACTGAGTCCTGAACAAATATAAGCTAGCCACAAGACACTACTTGGCACCAGCTGTTTGTTGAAAGCCTGATACTGTCAGACCCCAGAAGCTAAGTTTGGCATGACCTCATCAAAACAATTATGGGAGTCCTCAGGAAACACAAGGTGGCATGAAGATTGGCTGTGTCCTTTGGCAAGACACTTCATCCTCATTGCTGAGTATGAGTCTGGTTTTGTTGGGTCTCGTCTCAACACCTGAGGAGAGCAGGCTTTTGCCCGCAAACACATTTGTGCCTTGGCTTTTGAGAATCAGATTCTGCTTCATTTTGTTTGTCATTTGCAGTAAAACCACATTGGATTACGTTTGCAACAATCCCCAGTGTGCACCAAACAAGCTAAACAAACAAACAAAAATGCTGGAAACAATTGTCACTGTGAAATCAATCAATGAAAACAGTTTCAATACAACATCAAAAGTGTGCTTATGTTTCATGTCATATTTTTATATGTGTGTATTCAATCCGGTTGTCTTTTTCTTCTGTGCCTGAAGAAATGTGGGCAGCTATGGTGTTGTAAATGTGCTTCACAAAAAAAGTTGACATTTACAGTGACAGTGTTAGGTTACATTGAGTGGTCGGGGGTGCACAGATTAGTTGCCTCGCTTCTGTCATTCTACCGTAGGGCAGCTGTGGCTATAGAAGTGGTTTATCTGCATCATGTTCAAAGTAAATAATTTCATCTGAAGCGTCTTTGAGTGGCCAGAAGAGCATTGTACAAAATAATTGCATTATGATTTTTCACAATATAGATTTATCTTTTTTAAGTCTGGCTGACGTTCTGTAGTTTTTACTCCGGACATTTTTTCAAGAGCTGTTTTGTTTAAGCGGATCAGGCTGATTTATATTGTTTTTGCCATTTGGGTATGACTGGGGTGTTATACAGTAAATAAACAAAAACCTATAGCAGATGAGTCAAGATATAGTCTTTATCAGCCATACTGGATCTCATAATCATCGCCATCCCTTGTATAGCTGGTCTCTCTCTGGTCTCTCTTTGATCTCTTTCTCTGGTCTCATGAGTTTGAAGTATCACAAGTAATACAAGTAAACAGTACGTACACAGAGCCTCTATTATATGGATGTGAAATAAAAAGAATATAGGCAATAATAGAAATCTCTTTAATTGACCTTTGCCTCTAAGCATTTAAAATTCCACGGGATAGCAACGTAGGACTATTGTTTGAGCGACATTAACGGTGCTGTAGTCTGTGGTATGTCTCTGCTTTAAGGAGAATGGGAGATGAAATGCTTCAGGCTGTTTTCAATTGTGAGAGTGTTTATTCATGTCCCGGGTTCCACACATAATCCCTCCACTGTAACCACTTAGAGCAGTTGTTGCATCATTCTCATGCTCCGACTGTCTTCTTCTATTGCTCTCCATTCATTGCCAGTGCAGCAAAAGCAACTGCCTAATGTCCCATTGGCCTGTCTCTGCTCTACAGGAAGCGATGATGCTCTCCCCAACCTCATGTGTAGTCCCCCCCCCCCCCTTTCCCCATCCTGAGGGGAGCGTTTAGCAGCACATGCACCACTTAGCTTTCGCTCCACAGCTGTTTCTGGATAAATGCAGGGGTTTTGATTGGCAGGCTGAGAGGGGTGAGCAGGGGATGCATGCCAAGTTAACTCAGAGTGGGCTTATAGACTGTACGGCTGCGTGTCGAAATGTGTGAGAAACTATTGCACTGCAGTGTGGAGAGGATGTGGTGTGTAAGGCTGCCCCCTAGTGTCGGTGAAGAACATAGCAACACAATGTAGACAGCTACATAGACAGACATAAGGATAGATCTGTGTCTGTCTATCTATCGATCTATCTATATTTTATCCATCCATCCTTCCCTGTCTCTCTTTCAGCCACTCGCTCACTTTCTCTGTCTCTATTTTTATCTTCATCCTTCAATCTATTTTTCTCTCTATGCATGTATGATGAGATAAGCTTCGATAAACGTTATTGATCTTACAAATGGAGAAATGTACATTTTAATTTTGGCATTGATAGAATCACTCAGATTGTGCAAAAAGACAGAAGTGTGCAACATTTTAAGGTTAAAAAAATATATGTATGTGTATCTATCCATCTATTATCTATCTCTCTATCCCTCTCCCTCTGTATCTATATATGTATATGTATAAAAAGGATGGATCTTCTTTTGACTTTAAAGACTAAAAAAGAATGCATCATAATGAGATAAATTGGTTGCTATATTTTTCATCACTTGACAGAGCAGGCCTGTAAATATTTGTGTTGACTTCGGCTGGTGAATGGATGTGTTTTACGTCGCTCAGAATCAAATGATGTATTGAGGAGGAAAGATTACATGAGAAGTTCCACTGATGAAAAGGTGATGAGGAGGGTTGCAGCACGAGCTACAGTAAAGCTATAAGCAGTGGCAAGGAATAGTTTAAATGCAGACTCATTGCAAAACAGTAAATGGCTGATTAGCAGATGCAACTGTGTTTAGTCGTGGGATAGGATTGGAGCGATGGCCAAACAAAGAATATAAGCCTCATGACTGTCTTAAAATATGATACACCAATGGAACGAGATGTTATTGTCGCATTTAAAGACACACAGCTGGTTTTTCTTACATTTAATGTAAAACAAGACATTGTAAGCCTGATACTATATGACGCTATTAGTATTCCTTTAGGGGGTGAAGAAGCAGAGTTGCTACTTTGAACCCATGACTCCAGAGTACTTTTTATGCAGTGGGTTATAATATTCAACACAGATCGCTCTATGCATCCTAAATTTTTGCCTTTTATTCATGCATAATCTTGCTTTTAGTGGCCTAATACAATCTGTAAAACAATTTAAGTTGGTACATTTTATCTGCAAAATATAGACAAGAAAGTAGAGACTTGTTTTTTTTTCTACATTATCAAAAATTAGATTTATTACCTAATTTTGTATATAATTTTTTGATTTAGTGTTTTCTTTCTTATTTTGTGTACATTCTGACTGTGCTAAAACAAGATTTGCCAATGGGAATTTCAGGAATTGTTGCTTTATTTTCTCATTCCAAGGGAGAAAAAATAAATAAAAATGGTTGTCCCATAGTAGTAAGTAGTAAGTAAGCTTTATTTATATACCGCCTTTTCACAGACCAGAGTCACAAAGCAGTTTACAATTGTTATTTTTGGGCACTTGTCCTCTCACTCCTCACAGAGATGGGAGCGGGGTCGCCGAACAGGAGGCGCATGCCAGACCTATTGTACATATTTTTAGTGGTAGGGGAAACCGGAGTACCCGGAGGAAACCTACGCAGACACGGGGAGAACATGCAAACTCCACTCAGAAAGGCCCTGGTCTGGCCAGGATTCGAACCCAGGACCTTCTTGCTGAGAGGCAAGAGTGCTATCCACTCAGCCACCGTGCCGCCCGTTGGCAAATCTTAATTCAGATTCCGTTTATTTGCCATTTGCTGTAAAAAAAAACCACAAGACAAAATAAGACAGTCAAAATGTGCTAAATTCTTGCAGTGTATCAATGTCAGACACAAAGCTGGCGCCAAAAGGGTCAACTTAGTACTATCTTTGCCGTGTAATGAATAAGTCCTCTATGAAAACAAAGTAGTAGCTTCAAACTTTGATAAGAGTTATGGGCTGTGTGAAGGGAACCCTCACTGAGAGAGTTAGAGAAACAAAAGGGAGGATGATTTGGTCTTGGAATGGTCTTTCTCCAGCTCTCAACCACAGCCATAACTCAACGGCGCTAATGACAATGGAAATGCAGACAAAGACACTGACATGTATTGTAAAAAAGAATTATAAAAAAACAAAAGCTCTGGTGTCATTTTACAGTGTTTGGCTGGAGTTCTGCGAGCCGATCTCCTCACACCACATCAGCTGCTGTCACTACATTTCCTCTGGCGGCTCAGACTGGGCAGCAGGTTGTCAGACTTGGATGAAAGAGGCTCTGTGAGTGCGGCCCCCCTCCACATTAACATATGTCCTGGGAGTGGGCACAGAGGCGGCTCCCTGTCAACACAGCTGTGAGGGCTGAGAGGCTGGACTGCTGCACTGAAGGCTTCTGGAGAGAGCTCTGTGTGCATTATCTCTTTATTTGTGCATTAATCTACGTAGGAAATAGTGTGTGATTTTTGTGTGGTTTTGGTTTGTTCAATAATGTTTTTCTTTTTTTAATTTTTGGTATAGTATTGCGTTGTTCCAAATGACATTATTACACCAGCAACAAAAGAAGACACATGCACACATACACAATCACAGACACCTGCACGATCACAGTGATAGACACACACACAGTCATAGACACACACATATACACACTCACAGTCATAGACACACACATTTACACACTCACAGTCATAGACACACACACATATAAACAATCACAGGCACACACGCCCACATACACTGCAAAAGATGACAGAATTAAAGACAAAAAAATGCTCAAATTTGGCTAAATGTATCTAAATATGAGCACATTTTGACTGCCTTAAAACAAGATTTGCCAGTGGAACAAGAAAAATGATCTTGTTTTAAAAAGATTATTATTATTAGTTATTATTATTAGTTTATTTGATATGGACATATCAACTGCATTGGACAAACCAGATACATTGTTTCCAGTGTTAT